ATACATTAATATGTTGAATTATTATTTAAATAAGTCAAATTATTGAATTATTGTCAGGGACAATATCTGAAACATGTTGAATTATTGTTATTACGGAAACCGGTATTTAGTCATGGGCAAGTGTTTGTTGCAGTTTCAAGAGTAATAAATCACAATGACTTGAAGATTCTGATATACAACGAAGTAAATGCTCACACGAATTATACGAGTGATGTAGTTTATAAATAAGTCTTTCGAAATTTGTAAATCATTTTACTTTTGTACTTTAAAATAATGAAATTTCTATATTCCATTATATACCAATTTATATTCCTAAAAATGATCTTAATTTAGTACCATAACTATGACCCGTGCAACGCACGGGTGTGATACTAGTTATTCTCATAGAGTCTATTCTTTAGGATTGAAAAAAAAAAGAATTAAATGTTAGAAAAAATTGGAAATTTTGGAAAAAATGGAATAAATTGGAAGGAATTTCAAAAATTTAATTAAGTGTATTTTACATATCATTCTTATGATAATAATAATAATTATTATTGTAGTTATTATTATTATTCTTACTATTAATATTATTAGAATATGTTAAGAAAGTGAATAAAATTTGAACCTTGATAATGTGTATGCCATTTAATTAGGGATAGCTGGGCAGGGAACTAGTATAATTATTATTTTTTACGGAGTAATTAAAAATATTGAAAATTTCCTCGGTTCAATTTAAATTAATAAAATATCTATAATTTTTTGAAACATAATTTAATGTCATGTAAATTAATACTCCCTCCGTCTCTAAATAAACTTCTTCTTTCATTTTTTCTTTGTCCCTAAATAAACTTCTCTTTTCCCTTAAAAAACCCCTTTTACCCCTTACTTTTTCATACCCTACCTATCACATCATACCTTTTTACTAATAATCTACCTATCACATCTTACTTTTACACATCACATCAAGAGTATTTTTGGAAAGTCAACACAAAAATATCCCTCCCTTAAATCCTCAAAAAGTCAAAAACGGAAGTTTATTTAGGGACGGGGGAGTAAAAAACTATTTTTCAATAAATTGTGAGAGACCGTGAGCACACCTCCTTGATATGTGAGGGTGATCTCTAGAATTCAAGGTTTTCCAACCAACAGGTGGCATCTCTATCTATAATAGTCCTCGTCCTCGTTGTACTTTAATCATGCCTCTATGTTCATCCTCTACTCATTGAGATTTGCTATGAAAAATTTGATGCTTCCTACCCGGCCCCTTTCCCAGTGGTAGAGGAGAGCGAGGCACGCCTAGGCACGTGCCCTCCCCGCGACATTTTTCCGACGAGGCAGAGATGACATATCCAGACATTTTGATGCTTCTTACCCCAGAGTATCATACATTTGGAAACATTTGTTTGTGATATAATTTGATAATAATTGATCTTATTGAATAATGAATTGAAGGATACATCCTTGTATATAGGATTTATAAAAGAGAATTCTAATCCAAGTAGGAGAAGAATTATAGTAACAATACGATAAGAAAATAAAAAAAATAAGGAAGATAATTACTACTACCTCCGTCTCTGAGTATTTGTCCATTGTTGACTTTTTCGGTCAACTGTTTTCAACATTTAATATACAATTAAATAAAATATACATTGTATTTTAATTAAATAAAATAATATTTTGAAAATATTTGATATAATAAATCTAATAAAACTCTTTTTGTATCAATATCTAATATCATTTTTATTTAATTTGAGGTCAAAGTTTACTGATTTTGACCGAAAAAAGTCAAAAGTGGACAAATACTTAGGGATGGAGGAAGTAATTAATATCTCTTTCCAGATAAATATATTATTCCTAATATCCCTCGCAAGCTGATCATCGATCACGAGGGTTAGCTAGGAGCCAGTGAAAGCAATTTGTAAGTATAGCCTCTAGAAGTAGAGAGCCAAATCTTCATTGCATAACGGACAAGTTTGAAAATATGTTTGCTGTGTTTTTCCGGTGAAAGTGTTGGCGATTAGAGCGAGGGCGTGGAGTGTCTTTTTATCTCCTTTTGGGCCGTTCCTTGCTTCTCTATTGCTTTCCATGTTATCGATCTCCAGAAAAAACACAAACAAATGTAACTTTCTCATTCTTCGATTCTGCACGCGATTTTTTTGGAAGAGAGAGATAATAATTTTTTTGGAGAGAAAGAGAGGGATAATGGACAACGGCAATTAGGCATGTTCGTCAAGATCGGATCGTTTGGTGATGTCATGCTATCGGACGGTTGACCGTCTTTAACAAAGACTGGTGATCTGCTCGCTCGGAAAAGGAAGAGCTAGATTTTTTAGAACCTTAGCTCTGATACCATGATATAATTTGATAATAATTGGTCTTATTGATAATGAAGGATACATATGGATGGGAAATATTATTTGGCCCGGACATCTTGGTCAGAATTTCCCAATTAATATTACCAAAAACTGGCCACAAATTACTCCTCTTACCATAACTATTTTCATAGTCAACTCACTTTTTTTAATTACATTAACCATTCACTTATTACTATAACTACCTCCACCCATCACTCCCTACCATAATTACTCCAAGCATCACTTCCTTACCATGTTTATGTCCATGACTACTTCCTCATCTCTCACTACAAAAAGAATCTTTCACCTTCAGTATGGGGGGCAATTTAAATATTTTCTCCTACACTACCATGTAAGTATACTCTCTCCGATTACTTAGAAAATACTTCTTGTACGGAGTATCATTTATTCTTTATCGAGTCCATCAATAGCTATAATGCCAAGATTATGTACAATGTACTGCCCCGATATTAATAAAATCTCCACGTTGGCATGATACTGCCGGAAAACGTCTGTGATTTTCTCCCGATTTGGGTTTCCACGTCAAAAATAGCTTATTCATATTTTTGGTGATTGTTTGGCTCGTTTATTATTTTGACACAGCAAAAATGAGAAAACCGATCGAAACAATTAACACCATCACTTACCTATATATAGAATTTACAAAAGAGAATTCTAATAATCCAAGTAGGAGAATAATTATAATAACAATACAATAAAAAAATAAAAGAATAAAGAAGAGAATTACTTATTACTCCCTCCGTCCACCTAAGATCTTCCCATTGCGCGTTACGAGGCTTGACCGACTTTATTTTCAATTTAATTTAATTGATTATAGGAGTAAAATTTTAAAATAAAATTTATATAGTAATAAAGTACAAGAAAAGTTCTACAAAATTAGAGGTGACAAGACTATATTATTTTACGAAATGACTAGTAAAAATGAGCAAACAAAGTGAGTAAAGTTTGACCCTGTGAATAGTGTCTGGGAAGATCTATGGTGGACAGAGGGAATAATATTCTATTTTCTAATACATCGATTGTTCTTTATACTTAATTTGTATAATATACAAACTCCTCTTTTACAAATAAGTCTGGGGAAATCACCAAGCATGTGAAAGGAACCTTTTCGAATGATATACATTCAAGAAAGCCCCCAATTCTTTTCCATACGCATACATTTGGGTATAATATACGGAGTACATTACTAGCTGTCTATATACGACCTATATACGTTATACTCCCTCTGGTCTTGTATTTAATAATTATAAATAATACGTAGTAGTTTTAAGCACTTTGACTCATCAAATTCTCTCAATGTGTAAGCCTAAATATAGTCATGTGTGATCTTGTTTGATTTGTCTTAACATATAGATTATTAATATATAATTTCTATAATTTTTTAATATACAAATTACAAGATAAAATGGATAAAAGAAGTGTACTGGATGGTGCGTAAAAATGAAAGTGGACAAATACTCTGGGACGGAGGTAGTAGTTAGGATTTTTTATTAGTTATATTCTTTCTTATCCTAATTTCTTTTATTACACATATTTGGGTTACTTTTTTCTAATGCAGTAGTATAATTTTTATTTTTTAATTTAAAATATTGATGCTTTCTCAGGGTAAATTTAGATTAATAAAAATAGTTCTTTTTTGTATAATTTTTAGAAAATAAGTTAGTGTCATGTAAATTAGAAAACAAAAACAACTGTAGGAGTATTATTTATATTAAAAAGTGAAAGAAAAATAAAAATGAGTGTGAATCAAAAAAATAGTGGCATGAGAAAAAAAATAAAAACATACAAATTAAAAAAATATAAAGTTTAGTTATTAAAATAATAATAATAGTAATAATAAAAATAAAAATAATAGTAACATGAAATAACATCATTTTTAGAATCATTGTTTGGAAAAACTAGAAAGACTTAGAAGAAAATATAAAAATAGTTGAAAAAGGCTAGAAAAAATCGAAAGAAACTTGGAGGCCAGACTAAAAGAAATTGAAAGGAATTGAAAAATATGGAAAGACTAGAAAAAGTAGAATGTACTGCGAAAAATGGAAGTAACTACAAATAACTTGAAGGTATTAAAAGAACAAAAAAGATTTGAAAGAAATTTGATTGATATTTGTTGATTGATACGGAGTATTTGATTATCTTTTGCGATTTATACATAAAAATAAAATATAATTATTTGTATCATTTTAATGGCGGATTCAAAAAAATAATTAACCAGGGGCAGCCTCGATAAGATCAAGACAGGGCTTATAAGGCACTACCTCGAATTATTTTGATTTTCGAAAGTAATTTGGAATAATATAAAAAGAATAAATTTCATATCAAACAAGTATTTCAATATATAATAATTAAAGTGAAAAAATTCAAAACCCGAAAAATATACAATGGTAGTTACAAAGTACGTAGCACATTATGACTTAATATCAAATATAGCTATACTATTATCTTGTTGGAAAGACTTTCGACACAAGACATCAAGACTTTCTTGGCATACCATTGATTTGGCGCAACATAAGAACTCCTCTAGTCCTACTCTTGCTGGTCACCCTCATTCTGAAAACTCCGCACCACGCAGTCCGCCATTCCTTCCCCATCTGAACCTGTGCTTCGATACCAGATGTTGGAACGACTCGTACTGTACCTCACTCCAACCCACATTAGTATGATACTATCTATTTTGGACCGAACTCTCACGGATTTTTTTAGGCACCTCTCAAAATATATCACCCTAAAATATTCGGTTGAACCATTATATTAGGCTCTAAGGTATGGATACAGTAAAACAAATTTGGTACCAAATAAGTTGATGTGACATTTCGGTAAAGAAGATAACGCCACCTATACCATTTGGTACCCCCAAAATTCAATCGGTAAGCCGTCTATTGTGTTGTCGATCATACTGGACGGAATTCCTTCTATTCTAAATTCTAATGGTTGCCACTTTTATCTACTCACAAATGGGGGGGGGGGCAATTGCCCCCTTGCCAAATTTGGGTTGAAGCTAAATTTGGTTTGCAAATTAAAGTACTAGGTGTTTTTTTTGAAGTTGTTTGAGAGAGATGCCCCTAGTCAATGGGTTAAAATAAATCATTGCCCCCCCCCCCACCATGATAATATGTCCAGCCTCATCAATTAAGCCTTTGTCCAAAATATTATTATAAAAGTATTTTATTATAAAAGTAAAACAATAACATAATTAATTTGAGATGGACTTAAAGGAAGAGTAAGACGATTAATTCAAGAAGGAAAGAGTATATTTATGCGGACCACTGTGCCTGAAACCCCTCAAAACTGGTTGGCGGTTATCTGATAACGTATAAATTGGGCTTTAAATTATAAATTGGTGGTAAAAATTGGAACTTGGATGTGCCTCGAGTTAATTTGTCATGTGCTTCGATCGTACCAGCTGTTGTGGTGAGTCGTTTGCCTTTATCTTGTATACCTGGGCCTTGCCCCATTTTGTATTACGGAGTGTCGGAGTATTTCGTTTGATGCGTGAGTGGGTCAACTGGGCTGCTTACCTAGTGTTGGGCCTATGCTCCAATATTCGCGCGCAATTACACTATCCATGCCGGTCCTATATCTATGAGTAAATTTTTTAAATTGATCAACTAATAAGCTGCTTTCTGAATCAGTTCTTAACAGATTTTAATTAGCTATATGGTGTTTCATAATTGAAATTTATTTTCTAGAGATAGAAAATATCACTTAAATGACAAAGTATCACTTAAATGACGATCAAGTAGAAGTTATTTTGATGTTTTTCATCCTCCAAATTTAGAGTAAATTCTCAAAGTGATTATTTCTGATTAAGTGTTTTTCTAAAATGGTCTTTTTCTAATAAAGGTGTATTTGAATTCAAACTTTTAATTTATTTTGACATATTTTTAATAATTCATGGATTATGTGTCTATAGTCAATGACTGTTTTAACTTTACACAAAACTGTATAGAAATTACCATTTTAAGAATATGAAATTTGCACTAAATAGCACTAAAACATATGTCATTTTCCAATGTAGCATTTAAACTTTTTAATTTATCTAAATAGTACTTGAATAATGTCTAGTGGCGCGAACAATGCCCAGTGATGGTAGACATTTAGTTTGAACAATATCCAGTGGTGGTGAGCATTTACTTGAACAATGTGATACTACATCCGAAAAGTCACTATGTTTTAGTACTATTTAGGTAAGTTATCTTAAAGATTTTGCTTTAAGTTTAGATGATGAAAATTACAAAATACCCTTCAATTAATCATTATTTAAGTGATATTCTTACGAAGACTATTTGAGAAATAAATTTCGATTCAAAATATCATGTAGAGAATTAGATCTATTATAGACCTGTTTGAAAAACACCTTATTAAAATGGATTATTTAAAAAATTTACTCTATATTTATCTTTCTCACATGTTTCTTTTTTATTTATATATTAATATAATGGAAGAAAGAACTCTAGTTTTGATTCACCAAACATAGCCGCCGCAGTAAAAATCTTCGGGAGAGGGAACTTGAGATGAAAGATTACTAAAGGTAATCCGTTATTAATTACGAAGTAATTAATTAAAGATAAAGTGGGTACGAGACATTGGTAGGCAGGCCCCCTACATTACTTTTCGCATCTTTCTCTTTTTGTTCTCACGTCAGAAATTACTCCTTTCTACAAAAAACAAAAAATAAATTCTCAAAATATTTAATAATTACTCCTTTATTTCAGAGTATTTATCCAATTTTAACTTTTTTAGTAAAATTTTGTAAACTTTAGCCTCAAGTTAAATAAAAATGATATTGGATATTAATACAAAAATAGTTTTAATAGATTTATTATATAAAATATTTTCAAAATATTATTTTATCTAATGAATATACAATATATATTTTATTTAATTATACGTCAAAGATTGAAAACAATTGACTCAAAAAGTCAAACTGAAAAAAAAATACTCTGAGACGAAGTAGTATTTGTTTTCCCAATTTAGTCTCCAAGAGAAACTAATTACCGAGATTACATTCGCGAATTGAAAATAGCCCAGTTTAGTTCTCCCAACTAACGGTCGTCAAACAGCGTCTAAACGACATTAAAACTTATACTGATTTTCTAAATTGATCATACATAATTGGATGTTTTTTCAAATTAATCTATTGTTAATGTAAAAACTCATTTAGTATGAAAAATTGAAGCAGGATTCTTCCCTTTTAATTGATTCATGGTGTTTGACCGAAGTCGGGAGACCATTTTTTATGAGATTTTAATTTGAAAATTGACTAATTTGGAAAATAAGTATAAGTTTTAATGTTGTTTTGACTCCATTTTGATGACGGTTTTTCAGGGCGGATTAAACATGACATTATTTTCAAATAACGAGTACCATATCGGTAATTTGTTCATCTTAAGTACTAATTTGGAAAAATACATAGTTATTGAGTATAATTTTGAGAGTTTCTCAAAAAAATGAGCCACATCCCTAAAGACCTATTCTGATTCAGTCGGATGGATACAGAGAGGAGATAAATTAAACTGTAATCCCAAATTAACGTCAAGAAGTGAAACTTTCACATGGTATTTGTAGAGACTCCACGTTAACATAATTGCCTGCCAGAGCACTTGTCAAGTATCAGACTAAGGTCTATCCCCCTGGCATTCCTTGCCTTTGCCAACTACGCGATGGCCAAAAATTACTCTCTCCATAACCTGACCTGATGTATGATCTTTCAATACATCTGCTTGAATATTCATTTTCGAGTAACTGAAAGTTCATTTTCAAGTAATACACTACTCATTTTAGAATAATTGAATAGTTTCATTTACGAGTATAAGTGAATTTTATAAAAAAAAGAGTATTCAGTTATTCGAAAATGAATATTCAATTGTTCGAAAATGAGTATTAACTCATAAATGAATACTTATCACGGATGTACCGGAAAAACTGATTTTACAATATAAATGAGTTGGATTGAATAAAAAGAAGCCATATAAATGTACATACAAGTATATTTTAAGACGTTAGAGAAAAGAAAAGTGTAAACTTTATTTGTGGAGTGGTGGAGGGAATAAATAAATACCTATTCCATTTGATTGTTTTGTGTGTGCGCGCGTGTGGTGGGGTGTAGCTGCGTATGTATATAAATGTATGTATGTATATATATATAGAGAGAGAGAGAGGAATAATAAGATGATATAATTAGCAGTTATATATAATTTGATCAAAGTATATATATATATAGTAGTGAAAAAGAGAATGATGATGGGGGGAGGTGGGGGTGATGCGTCGTCGTCGTCGGTATCGGAATTGCCGCCGGGGTTTCGGTTTCACCCGACGGATGAAGAACTGGTGGCGTACTATCTGAAACGGAAGATCAACGGCCGGTTTATAGAGCTCGACGTCATCCCTGAAGTTGATCTCTACAAATGTGAGCCATGGGAGTTGCCTGGTACGTACCTACCTACCTATTCAGTTCAATTCTTGATGGTCTCTTGTTGATATGATCCCATTCCCTTACATAAATACAACATCATCGAGGAAATTAATAATTAACTCAATCCTTTAATACCTTCGTTATTAGATGGATCTAATAGGTCAGGGGAAATATATATCGTTTTATTTCTCTATCTGCAACTAAAAAAATTTCTTTTAAATACCCCAGTATATTTGTTATCATTTGTTAAAATTACATAATCATTTTTCATCTGGTTTAGTTAAGAATCTAATGTAATCTTTTACTCATATATACTCCATTGTTTTATTTCGAAATTCTATACCACTATTTAAATAAATTAGATTGAAAATAAATTCAATAAAACTTTAATGTTTGTAGCAGGAAATTAATTCAAAACGAAGTGAGTAATTATGGGGCAATAATAGACTTTTCTTTTTCCTAGAAGACCCATATTTTTTATACTATTAATATACTAAAATGCATAAAACAAATGTGAACCTAAGAGAGAAACGCGCAAATGGAGATGAGAGAACAAGAAAAGGAAAAGGAATCATCAAAGAAGAAAAAGCAGAAGAAAACTGGCGCCAAAGAAATCATTTTTTAACACGTGAATTAGGAATTAATTAAATCTCCTTCAAATTAAATAGAATTGTTGCAGTATACTTCATCATCTGTCAAACTAAGGTGATCGTTTTTTATTTGAGAGTATATTAATTCAAAAACTTGGACTAAAATTTAGCATTGCCGAAGGGGATACGAAGAAATAAAAAAAAGTGCAAGAGATTTGTTCCAGATCCCGATCTAATAAATGAGAAAAAAAAGACCTTGAAAAAGAAAAAAGAAAAAGAAGATCGTAGTCTGTCTCGAGGGAATCCCGCAGTGGGCCAATCTATGTCAAGTTTAACAAAAAAAAGCAATATTAACTCCAAGAAGAAAGCACCCCATTCGTCAACATTTGTTCCTCCAAATTTATCTATTCTCTTCCTCATTTAGTTGTCACACCATTTAATATTTCTTCTTTCCCATATTCTTATTTACGGAGTATTTCATTTTTCTCATCAAAATTTTTAAATTATGACTATGAACTATCGAAGAAATATGTTCCATTCGTTAACCGAAAAGATTGCACGTTTCTTTTTTTCTTTTTCATTCAACCCAACCAAAAGTTTCAGGAATAATGCTAAAATAGGGTGTTCCACGGATGACAATCATAGATGTATGATTTTATACATACACTGACGATAATCGGTTATGTCCAAAAATAGTTATCGTGTGTGTATGTAAAATCATACTCTCTCTATCCGGAAAAGAAGTTTACGTTTTGACTTTTAGTCATTTTTATTGATAGTTGACTATGGAGTCAATTTGTCCAAAATACCCTCCCACTTCTAGCTTCACCACAGTGCCAATTTCGGCAACCCCCATTGTCGGCTTGCCTGCCGCTAGACCCCGTCAGCCCCGGTCTCCGGCAGCCTCCCTTCGCGGCCATCCCTCACCGCCATCCCTCACCACAATCATCAGCCTACCGTCGCGCTTGCCCCCCTTCATCGCCTCCATCGCCTATCACAACCACCATCCTTACCACCGCTACCAATCCTCCATCTCCGCCAGCACTATGTCACCGCCAGCCCCATCCCCGCTATCACCTTAATAGCCGCCATCTGCCATCTCTGCAATTGTAGATCTCTTTAGATCTCGAAGAAAGAGGGAGAAGGAGGAGGGAGATGGAGGATGCGAAAGAAGAAGAAGTGAGATCTACACAAAGAGAAAGGAGAAAAGAAGAAAAGAAAAAAAGAGTTGCGTTTGGGAGGAGAAGCAAAAGAATGAAAAGAGAGAAGAAGATAAAGAGAAAGAATGGGGATAAGGAGAGAAAGGAGTGGCGGAGAAGAGAAGGGAGAAATTAGAGAAGGGATAAAGAGGGGTATTTTTGGAAGATTGTGGATTAAAATTAGAAATGTAAACTTTATTTTCGGACGGAGAAAAAAGAGAAACGTAAACTTCTTTTCCGGACGGAGGGAGTATGTGATTGTCATCCATGAAGACAACCATGCCAGGGTCCTAACATGTATGGTCCAAGTTTCAATTTTACACTTCCGAAAAAGCTTTTGTCCCTAATAGTGTTTGTTCTCCTTTACCTTCACTTTCAATCACACAATATTATTTTTTTCTAATTTATATGCCTATCCGAACATGAAATGCTTTTCAGGGATAGGGAAATATGAAATTAATTTACGCTTCGCATATAAGTAATATAAGTAAAGATATTAATAGCCATTCGCTCTTGGAACTTTGCTCTCAATTTGGATTATAATGTTGGATTAAGCTATGTGTACCCCAACATTTATACCCCAATTTGTACCCCTTGCACCAACATTTTGTGTTGGTGTAAAATTAATTTTTGTTAACGCACCAACACTTTGTGTCCGTGTAAATTTTTATTAACGCACCAACACTTCTATCGGTATAAATCATCAAAATGTTTGTGCATAACTATGAGGTACATTTTTTGGTGTAAATGTAGCATGGTCCTTATAATGTTTGTGTGTGACAGGGAAGGCGTTGTTGGCGAGCAAAGACCTAGAGTGGTATTTCTTCAGTCCACGAGACCGGAAATACCCAAACGGGTCAAGGACAAACCGGGCAACGAAGGCCGGGTACTGGAAGGCGACGGGGAAGGACAGGAAAGTAAATTCAGAAATGAGGGCGGTGGGGATGAAGAAAACCCTAGTCTATCACAGAGGCAGAGCTCCCCACGGAGCTCGAACCGATTGGATCATGCACGAATACCGCTTAGAGGAAAGGGAATGCGAAACCCGGTCGGGCTTACAGGACGCCTACGCCCTCTGCCGCGTCCTAAAGAGAAGCTTAAATACCTCAGATATCGGAGAGACTTACTCTGCCGCCGCCGCCGCCGGAGACGATCAGGCGTCGAGCTCATCCTATGCGATTCAGCATCCGCCGCCGCCTTCACGCGACCTCGGTTTCCTGGCGACGTCGCAACAGGATTACTGCTTGGAGGTTCCGGATTTCGCCCAATCGGGCTATGTTCGATTCCAGATGCCTCAACCGAGCTGCTGCGATTCCGACGAGGCAAATCGTCGAACACTTGGTGCGCATGACTGCACCGTAAATGCATCAGATTTTAGCGACGATTTTTCCTTCTTCCCTCAGAACGAGAGATTTCAAAGCTACAGCTCTTCTGGATTCATGGATCAATGGAAGGAAGATGGCCAAACGATCGAGGAATTCGGCGACGAACTAGGATGGGATAGAATGGGTGAGAACTTGAGATGGGTAGAAATGTTAGACAAATAGAGAAGGTTAAAACCAAAACAAAACACATATTGTACATCTTAAATGTAATTAAAACTAATTCACTATGTTCAGAATATTTTTACAAAGTATAAACACATGTATCATATGCATCTCAAATGTAAACAAAAATAAGAGGCATTAAGATTTACAAAAGCTTTGCTTTCCAAGCTTTTTGAAGCAACTGCTTTCATGTTCGGTTTATTAAAAACTTGTTTTACAGGGCCATACTAATAACAATACAACACGAAGGCATTAACGAATATCTCGAGACGGGAAAGACTAGCGACCAGTGGCACGAGAAAATGAAACGGTGGCATTAGAAGTGGACGATGGAGTAGTGGTTGATGTGTTTGCAGTACTTGCGCTCTTGTCGAAATCAATAATGGAAGGCCTTTTCGGGGCGCTATGCGTGGTTGAATGATCACTTGAAAGCATGACAACAACTTCAGACATGCTTGGCCTTAGGTTTGGGGGTGATTGGGTGCACATGAGTGCGATCTCCACGATTCTCTTTGCGTCTTCGGGTTTATAGTCATTTGGGTCTAAACTCTCATCCATAAGTTTTAGGTGGTTCCCACTCTCACACACATTCCATGCCTACATGTTAAAAAACATAAAGTATTGTTGATACCAGATGTTGAAAGAGAAATTTACCTAAATAGGACTAAAACATAACAATTTTCCCAATATAGGACCATATGTTTTTATTTCCCAATGTAGGACTTTTGGTCATTAACAAGTCGTCATTATTCAAGTAAATGTCTAGCATTACTGAACATTATTCCTCCCACGAGGTCATTATTAAGTCCTATTTAGGGAATAAAAAAGTTTAAGTCCTACATTAGGAAAGTCATTATGTTTTAGTCCTATTTAGTGCAAATTTCACATGTTAATAATGATGATAATAATAATACCTGCTCAAGGAGATACTCATTTTCAGGGTCAGATTCGACGTCGCCGCTTCTTCGCCCACTAACAATCTCCAGGACGAGGACACCAAAACTGTAGGTGTCAACTTTTTCAGACAAATGACCATGAATTGCATAGTCTGGATCTGTATATCTCCTGTTTCAACACAAGATCATTCTTCCTTAGTGATTTATCAAGGAACCACCACAACCTAATGTTTAAGTTTGTGGTTGTAAGCCCAAGAAATATTTTTAATTCATGACCACTTAGTCAAATCAACTAGAAGCTCAAGCTTGTAGTTGTAGCCCAGGAAATGTTTTTGAACTTTACCATAATCCAAAGTAAAACTCAGGTGAAAACAATAGGGCAGCCAGGCTTACAAAGTTTCTAGATGACTCTGGTTTTCGGGTAAGAGCCTGGCCAAACCAAAATCAGCAATTTTGGGCTGGAAGCTGTTGTCTAATAGTATATTTCTGGACTTTATATCTCTGTGTATGATGCATACATGGAACTGGGCGTGTAGATAGGCAAGACCCCTTGCTGAACCAAATATTATATCAAAGCGTTGCTTCCAGTTCAGCGTCCCTCGTTTCTCTCCTGCCAATCATGAAAACGTTTGACAAGTTTTTATCGGATTCTAGCACAAAAATAAGAAAGTTATTTGACTCTGGAGCTAAATCCGTGTAATTGTACCATATAAGTATTTGTCAAGGCTGCCATTTGCCATGTATTCATAGACCAGTAGCAGATCTTCTCCTTTGGAAGAACATCCAAGTAGTCGAATGAGATTACGATGATGGACGTTTGTAATGAGCTTAACCTCACTGTCAAAGTCTGCTTTTGCCCTACTCGAAATCATGGCCAATTTCTTCACTGCAACCACATCCCCATTCCTTAAGACGCCATGTTCAGTGGTGAAAGAGTGCCTTTGGTTACTATTTCAGATGATATTTCTGCTCTATGGATCGTCAAAGATGAAATGACATGTTTACCCACCTTATATACGCCGCCAAAACCTCCTTCACCGAGTTTATTTTCTTCGCAGAAATCTTTTGTTGCAGCTTTTAAATCTTTGTATCTATAAGTCTCTGGACCTCTCTGAGTTGTCCCAGAAATATTCCCTATACCATAAAATGTCACAAGACATGACATGGTGACTGCTACTAAGAGTCCATGTGGGAACAACATTTGCAATTAACAAAAGTGTTTTTGATAAATCTTTCATAGTAGAGATTTAGTTTATATAAAAGGGAAATCAAGTATACCTCTTTTGGTAGCCTCTGGCTTGTTAGATCTTTAGTATAAAAGGAAAACGACTCCAAATACCAAAACAAGTCCTATACCTCCAACAACACATCCAATAATAATCGCTTTCTTCTTCCCTGAACTCCCTGCAGAAGGTGTTACTGTTAGAAATATCAAACAAAAAGGGAATAGTGTAATATCTTGATAATGTCCTTGATTGGAATCAAATTACCAATCAGGATATTTGATTAACTTCCACTCACTTTCCTTGATTGTCTTCATTATTAACTTTGTAATATATATAGACATCATTAGAGATGTATTCAAGAAGATGAACATTTTCATCTGTGAATTGATTCTATATTTCTAATA